ACAAAGACCTTATCAATGACCACACCCAGAAACCCCCCCCCCCCCCCCCTCCAGGAATTTTCTGAAAATCTGTTCGAAGGGGCACATTCTATCAACCAGCCCTCCACCAATTCAAGCGAAGTGAACAGACACATCTCAAGCCAGCGTGTACCAATCCACTCTCACAAGCTCGCCCAGGGACTGCACTCGCCAACCTCCGCACACACGAATCCAGCGCAACTTCGAAGAGAAACGCAATCCAACCTGGGTAGTCAAGGAAACGATGCGGTCCATCACAAGCGAAGCTAATATAAACCCATCTGAAATCTTCGGCCGACAAGCGAATGAATCGAACGCGCAGGCAAGCTGCACCTTCAAGCGGTCTAGTCGCCATGCGCGGCCCCGTACATCTTCCGACAGCGAACTTTACAACTCGGTCGAATGAGGCCGAAACTGCTCACGCATTTCTAGATCTGGTAACGGGAAAGGGTAACGAGGACTCGAGCTCCGTCTGGCAGAGCCGCGTGATACCATTGTGTGTACGACGTGGCTACGCTTGGGCCGGAGTCAACTCCTGGCCACGCAGCGCTCGGAAAGCGGCATGAATCTCTCTCGCTCTCTTTTTCTCTCCTGTGCAGTCGCGCGAGGGTGCGGCTCTCTATGTGTGTGCCGGGCCAGAGCTGCCAGCAAATGCCTCTCCTCTGTGACCCAAAAAAGTGCAGGGGCGACAACGAGAATTCTGCTTCACATTGTGTACCTGGTTCGTTCGGTTGCATCAGACCAGCTTCCATAAAACCAACAGTATGATTGCCCCTGAAAGGAGGGGCCACTACTCGTATGCAGTGCCACTGCTCCGGTCTGCACAATCTTCGTGCGACACCCTTTCTCAACTCCCGATGATGCTCTCATTGGTAGATGGAGCATTTCTCAACTCCTGATGCTTACTCTCATTGGGTAGATGGAGCATTTCTCAACTCCTGATGCTTACTCTCATTGGGTAGATGGAGCATTTCTTAACTCCTGATGCTTACTCTCATTGGGTAGATGGAGCATTTCTCAACTCCTGATGCTTACTCTCATTGGGTAGATGGAGCATTTCTCAACTCCCGATGCTTGCTCTCATTGGGTAGATGGAGCATTAGCAACATAATTTTTAGGAAAACTACCAAAGAAATAGAAACCACAAAGAAAAGATCACTCCTTTACAAATTGACACCAACTTTTGTACATGCATATATCTCTTCCCTACTTTTTTATTTTGGGTGAGTCACAAAGTAAATCTAGTGGATGAATAGTTTATTGTAAGTTATTATTATTGGGAGAAATATTAGGTATAGTACACTAGTCTCTAATACCAAAGTAAATCTAATGGATGAATAATTTATTGTAAATTATTATTATTGGCAGAAATATTAGGTATAGTACACTAGTCTCTAGTATAGACTAGTAGCTACTTAATTGTGACCTTACACCAAGAGTTGTGACTCTTGGTGTCACTCTTGTAGATACAATATATTGTGTGAGAATTGATCATATTAATATATAAGATGTTTTCAACATGGTATTAGAGCAATAGAAATATTTGATCCTTAGAAAGCTTTAGTAAATGTTTTACCTAGAAAAGAATCACTCAAAGTACAAACTAGATTGTAATGACAACAATAATACAATCTAGTGTAACAAGAAAGGTTAATGAAGAACTTTAAGTACTTCAAATCATGATTAACAATTCTAAACCTGAAAATAGCAACATACTAATAATAAGCAAAGGTAAAATTGAATTGATGAAAAATAAATTAATAAATAATTTCAATTCAACTTCAAATTAAGAATATTGAAGATGACACAAAAAGTGGACATCAATCATATTCTAAAATTTGATGGTTCATATTTTAAAATAGAAAAATATAGATTTACACTGGTTTTTAAGGTTGAAAATTTATGACTTATAGTAATTGGTAAAAAATACTTACCAATAGAACCAACGATGGCTGAAATTGTTGTCAAAATCCCAGCTTTACTTAGTATAGGAGGAGGAAGTATAAGTATATGGATAGATAAAGATATCTTGTCTTTATCCATAATCAAAAATTGCATAGAAAATAATATTATTTTATACATACAATCTTTCATATCAACAAATTCAGTATGATAAGAACTAGTAAAAATATTTGAATTATATAATGCAGTAACTAAGATGTATTTACAAGAAAAATTATACACCTTAAAAATGAGAGAAGGTGATAGTATTATTAAACACATACATATCTTTAGAGCATACATGGAACAATTGTTGGTAGTAGGATCAATAAATCCAGATGATAAAGCAATTTTTATCTTGATAAGAAGTTTCTCTTTAAGTCATAGATCCTTTATTACCTCCTTGAGAAGGTAGTATGGAATCACATTAGTACCTTTGATAAAAAATTTGATCTAAGAAGAAACATTCATGAAAAATATGAGTTTAACATCTAATAATAATTCAACCATATATATAGGTAAAAAATTTCAGAATAACAACAAGAAATCTTATTTTAATAAGAATTTTAGAAGGAATCTATAAAGAAAGAGTAGTACCTCCAAGCTACATTAAAAGAACAATTTTGCTATTGATAAAAATAACTTTTCTACAAGAAACCTGACCATTTGATCAAAGATTGCAAAACAAGAATAGCAACTAAAAATCATAATATATAAAAAAAAATATTATCACTAAATCAAATAAATTATATATGATAGCACTTATAGTTAAAAAAAATCAAATTCAATGTGGCATGTGGACTCAAGAGCAACTCAACATATGTATCATGAATTAGCAAGATTTGTTTAATATATTAAAAGTGAATGCAAACAAGTTGTCTACTTATGAGACAATACTACAATATACATTATAAGAGGACATGGTGATATAAATATCAAACTCATAAATGATGATGAAAAGATCATACTTGATGTATTATACATACTAGGACTTGCTAAGAATTTATTCTTTGCCAAACAATTAAATAAGGTAGGAGGAGAAATTTGCATAAGAGTTGGAGTAACTAAACTTATCAGTAAATTTGGTAACACTATTATAAACTACAAATTAAACCCTGATTTATATGAATTAGATACAACAATATTTTAAAATAAGTCTCAAAATATTATTCTAGCAACAATACAATTCAATAAAGTTGATTTATGGCACCTAAGACTAAGACACATAAATCAACAAAGATTCAAACAAATACAAACAATAGCAAAAGGAATTGACTTCTTTGATGAAAAGAAAATTACCTTATGTCAACCTTGCAGAGAAGGCAAATAATGTAAAGAGAAATTTCCTACATAAGATGCACAAAGAGTTATCTAATTATTAAAAAATTTACATTCTAATATTTGTGGTCTTATACAAGTAGGCACACATTCAAGATATACTTACTTCATTACATTTATTGATGATCAAACAAGATATTACCAATTTTTTTTTAATGAAACATAACTTTAAAGCATTTGAGAAATTGACCTTATACAAAAAATTTATAGAAAAACAAATAAGTTTCAAAATCAAAACCTTAAGATTTGATCATAGAGGTGAATATAAATCAAATGAATTTAAAGATTTATATAACAAAAAAGAATCAAATAAGAATATACTATAATTTATATATCTTAAAAAAATGGTGTTTCTAAAGAAAAAAATAGAACATTATTAGGAGTAGTTCTTGCAATGCTATTCTATTCAAATTTATCTGAACTTTTTTTGAGGTGAAGCACTTCAAACTGCTTGAAACTAATTACTTCCAGAACAGGAGCCCTACCAAATCTATAGAAGGTACCAAAATACCATTTGAGTTATGGTATGAATGCCAATTAAATTTATCCTACCTTAGAATATTTGGTTGCATAGCTCATGTATTCATTTCTAAAGAAACAAGAAAGAAGTTAGATTTTTATTCATTAGAAGCTATTTTTCTAGAATATAGTGAAGAATCTAAAGCCTATAGAATCAAAAGCAACACACTTGCAAAAGAAAAATAAAGAGCTTTTAATAGACTTAGAATTATCTAAGCATCTTTCAATAATTATAAGATCTAATGAGCACACTATACCTCATATTCAACAAATGACTATACCATCAATGCTACCACCACAAGAACTACATGTATTTGATTAAAAAATATATAGTACTTCTCAAAATATGAGAGACCAACTTCCTTCTCATATTAATATCATTAAAGTCTTTTTTTGACAATCATCATCAAATGATTAAGAAATCTTATCCTATAAACACAATGTACTCTTTTCCAGATTATAAGACCTAAGTATTCCTTTTAGTTCTCGACCAACAAGAATTATTAAACCAATTGTATAGTTGTTACAATCTATATAAGAAAGAAAAACAGTATAAACACCATTGTGATCAATATCACAAAGCCTACCTTGTTTCTACCATCATAGAAACTACAAACTTCATTCAAGAAATAATAAAAAGGACTGATAGTGAAGCATGGCAAAAAGCAATCAATTCTAAAATTACATCCTTAAACAAAAATAATACATGGACAATGAAAAATTTACCTTTTCATAAAAAACCAATCATTTCGAAGTGGATTTTAAAAATAAAAACTAAAGCCAATGGAAGTATTGACAAGTATAAAGCAAGGTTAGTTGCAAGAGGTTTTACCTAAATTTAAGGCAGTGATTATATAGAAACATTTTCTCTTCTAGCCAAATATAATTCCATCAAAGTTCTTCTTGCCTTAGCCAGTCAATTTAATTTAGAAATATATCAATTAAATTTTAAAACCATATTTTTAAATGAATTTGTTGAAAAAAAAATCTACATGACTATTTTTGAAGAATTATCTCCTACACATATTAATAAGATATGTAAATTAAATAAATTCTTATATGATCTTAAATAATCTTCTAGGACATAGTATCAAAGATTAAATCAATATTTTCTTCTTCACAAATATCAATGTTTAGAATCAAATGCAAATATATATATATATATATATATATATATCAAAAGAGCCAATGATAAGGATTTTACCATAATCATATCTATATTGATGATTGTATCATTATCAACAACAAGATTTCTAAAATTGAGAAAGTAAAAGACATTCTACAATAAGAATTTGATATGTCAAATGAAAAAAAAAAAATCCATTACATTCTAAGCAATGCCATATTAAGAAATAAAAAAGAAGGATGGATAATCCTCCATCAAGAAAAATATTTAACAAATAATCTTAATGAATTTAATATATTGAATACAATTCATTAAGTACTCTAATTCAACCAAAAATTTGTTTAAGTAATGAAGACTATATTACTTCCTAAATTTATTCCTATTCTCAAGTTTTTGGTAGATTAATATATGCTATTGATAATTCTAGACTAGATTATGATTATGCTATCAATAATAAAGCATAATATCTCTCTAAACTAGGATCTACACACATTCAATTTTTTAAAAATAACTATGAAATATATCAAAGGCATATTAAATTTTGAGGTCAAATATCAATACTTATCATAAGATGATATTTTACATGGTTATTTTGATGCTAATTGGATAAGTGGCAAAGAAACTTGCCACTCCACTTTTATATTTTGCTTCTTATTGGTTGAAGGAGTTATCTCTTGAAGCAATAAAAAACAACAATTTGTAGCTTTATCATCCATAAAATCAGAATATATGGCTTTAACAAAAGCCACAGCTGAAGCCATGTAGGTAAGAAAGTTATTACATGAACTTAGATTTTTTCA